TTCGATACCCGTAGTTAGGCACATTACATATAGCCTATTGTGTAGCTTTGTGCTTAACTACAAAACAACAAACGGTTTTTGACATTAATGATACTTTACCAACATAATTTTCAACAGAGAAAACAAAGTTAGTGATTTTAATAATACTCTACCAACCTAATTTTCAACAGAGGAAACAAAGTTAGTGATTTTAATAATACTCTACCAACCTAATTTTCAACAGAGGAAACAAAGTTAGTGATTTTAATAATACTCTACCAACCTAATTTTCAACAGAGGAAACAAAGTTAGTGATTTTAATAATACTCTACCAACCTAATTTTCAACAGAGGAAACAAAGTTAGTTGCTTATTTTCAAATGTCTTTGTCATTCTGTCAGGTTTTAGAAAATTAAGTAAAATAAAAAAAATCTAATATGCTTGGTTTGATTATATCTTACAGTATGGTATAACCTGCTGAGGAGGAACATATTTAAAACATTTTAAGAGTGGTAATACACTTACAAAAAATATAATAAGATATATATCATCATTATCATAGTATTATAGTACAAATTCACACTTTAAAATTAAAATATGACACTATTACTAAATTTTTATATTTATATGATATTAAGTAGGTTTAGCAAAGATGTATGGAACTAGCAAAAAAATAAATAAAATCAGTATACGAACGCACGAATTCTTTATCGGGATCTGGGAGGGTCAGGATTTATGCTTCCTCCTTTTCCTCCCATCTGCACTGGTATTTTAAAAGCACTGTTAAATTCTGAGCATTTCATAAATGAAGGTGTTGTTTTCATGTAATGTCACTAGTATGATTACAATAATACCCCTATCAAGACTTATGTGCAACGTTTAGCATTTGCACTGGTATACACTTTGCTTCAATTGGTGTGTTAACAGTTTCACACATCACAAACAGTCCCATGTACTCCAGTGCTTATTCATTATGTAATATATCTAGTATGTATTGACATAATAAAACCCTTTATTATACAAAACATGTATACTACACAATTGATATGTCAGGTAAGTCTAGCAGTAGATGGCTGTTTGCTATACTTATAGTACCTGTTTAGGGGTGAGAGGTAATTAGGCTCATTTCCAACTTGTATGTTATATCGAACAAATAAACGTAACAATTCATTTTTGCGTAAACTTTTCCGGAGGTAAGTGTATGATCTGTTTAGAAGTCTGTCGTAGAGAAATATACAAAACAAGGCTGAATAGCTTGGTTTGAATTTCGCAGAATAATATGCAAGGGCTATCTTCGTTACCTGTCCCTAAATTTAGGAATGGTAGACTAGAGGAAAGGCAGCTAGTCAACACCGGCCATCGATTACTCATGGGCTACTTACTTTCTTACCAACGTCACATTATAATGCCCCCCACGGCTGAAAGAGCGAAAATATTCGGTGACGGGGATTCGTCCCCTCGAAGCGCCATGGGAGGCCTGAATAGCTTCGAAACTTACAAATTCCAAAGTAAAAAAAACATATTTATTTGGGAAAGGTATTTGTATCAAGTACCCACATTTTATAATAATGTTCCAGGCCTACAAATGTCACAGTGCTATACAGATATTACGTATAGATATATTAAGTTTATGTGAATAGCTAGTTATACGGGATGAAACAGTTAAACATTCCTTGAAAGTTATGAATTTCACACCATCTTGTGTTGATATAGTGAAGCTAGTATTGTACTCTAATAATTAGTACCAGAATTACATGATATTCTGTAGTTTGTATTATGACTTTCAACCTCGAGATTTTACGAACTAGAAGCGATGAAAATAACTTCCAGACCACAGTAGCAGAAAGTCTAATTTTATACATATTTTGTTCTACCATCAGCATTATTGAGTGAATATTTCTGCAAGTTTCTATCGATCATTGACAAAAAAGTCAGTAAATTAGAATAAAAATATTAAAATACATACACAAGTAGAAGTTTGTTGCAAAATTATCTATTTCTATTTAACTTAATCGGCTGTAAAAGCCTAATTGCATTTTGTGGTGAAATGTATTTAATATTAGAGCTAATGAAAACTCCAAATTTGCCTGCTGTTTACTTTCAATCACACAAACGTGTATCTGTCTTATGACATATTCCTTACTTCCATGACCGGATTTCATTAAGTGTGAAACATCGGTTAACAACACTATCCGTACACTCTTTTTAAGTAACAGATGTTTGTGCACATGTTAATTAATACTTTGTAATTTAAAACCAGGAATCTAACTGACATTCCACATCATATAGAGCTGTTTTAGATTTTTCCTTCTATAACCCAACCTTCAGCTTTAAGTTTTCTCCTTGACAAGCAGTTCGTCAGTAGGTGTTACAACCTGAAGGCCTTGAAATGTAGGACATGTCTTATACATAGCGCGCACAGCATACAACAGCAGTGAAAAACCAGTACTCTTCCCTTCCTGGTTGGCAAGATCTCAACACTGATGCTTCTAACAGCGCTAACATAGGTATAATACACACACTGTTGCCTAGAGCTGAACAGAATGACCTGTTTGCCCTCATCAAGTGAGTCGTCTTCTATAATATTGTAAATTAGAAGGAATACACAAAACGAAAATCACAGTTGGTTCAGAGTGAACAATCATGCCATCTCACTCTTCTTTTGGCTAATATGTATTGTCTAATCAAGATTAATGAATTAACATTAGCTGAATAGAGTTGAATGGAATATGTGTTTTTGCTTCTGATAAAACGACACCTTGAAGTACTAGCTTTGTCAAAATTTAGTATTCTGAAATCCAATTCGACTCTTTTATGATATTAGATGGTCTCGTCACTAGATTAGACGTGCTCAAAGGAATTATCTTAAGCGAGATGATTAACCGCCATATTTAGCATGAAATTTATTATTTATGCTTAATTTGGGTTTTAGTAAAAAAAAAAAAAGAACTAATCATTATTATATTCTGTTTGCCTTCGTCTAGTGAGTAATAAAAGACGTCTTGTATGATGCTACAAACTAGCAGGAATACATTAAAGGAAAATCACAGTTCGTTGATCAGTGCAGAATAAAGCATAATGCCATTTCACT